GCCTGCTCTGAGGTGCGCCAACATAGCGACGCTCATCAAAAGGCTCCTGCATCACACTGACCTCACGGAATCGAGGCTGTGAGGCGCGAACAGCGGACGGCTGGATGCTCTCGTGTCGGACGTAGCCTTCCGGAACTTCTCGACGAACAACTTCTGGCCGCATACTATACGATCGCGCTGAAGCATACTCTCGTGGCGGGCCCATTTCCTCGTACTGTGGCGCAGCGCGGTATTCCACCTCTACAGGACGGCGAGAGGGTTCTCTCTGCCTATACGGGCTCTCGATCATTTCAGGTTCCGACGCCTCGACATAACGTCGAGGAGGCGGGGGCATTCTCTGAACAGCTTCTTCTTCGTACATTTCTGGTCGTGCCGGTGCACGCATCGTGGGCTCCCGCGTCACAGCCCGCTCGTAGTATGGCTCAACCTCCACTCGCCTGCTAGGTGGCGCCATCGACTCTCGCGCATCCATTGGTGCCGCATAGTACTTTTGTCCATACTGATCCACCACAATTCTGCGTGGCGGCGGAGCCATGAGCGGCTGAGAGGGCATGTATTCATGTATAGGTGATCGCGAACGTTCGCGTACGTATCTGGGTGCGGCTGATGGGCGGGCTGAGGCTTCGCGGAAAACGGGCGCCTCGGCGCGTTCGACAAAGGCATGGGATGCTGCCCGAATCTGTCGAGGCTCTGGCGCTGCGTACATCTCGTTGACACCACCTGGCGAGTAGGGGCGTCGAGCATATTGCAGACTTGCGACCCGCCTGAGGTCCTGTTCATCGCGCAGCGATTTCCGCTGCGGCGTGCGTATGACGGTCGGGGACAAGGGCTCGTCGTACTCGCGGTAAGATCGTGCCATAGGTTCCGGGTCGCGGTAGTAGACCGGCTGTGTTCTGGGGCTGCCTTGCGCAGAAACAAGCTCTACCTCATCGGGATGAGGCTGTAGCGCACGACGCTTACTAGGTTGTGAGTCGGGATAAGCCGTGAAAGGAGGTGGTGACTGCGGCTCTTCCTTGATGTACGGTTCTGGCGAGTTGACAACGCGTTTGTTGGCCTGCTGCTGACGCTTCTTCTCGTCGCGCTCGCGTTTCTCTTCTCGTCTCCGCTTGCGAGGGTTGTGAACTGGTGCTGCGGGACCGGTCGGACTTTGACGGCGTGATCTGCGAAACGTTAGCATGATTACAAGAAGGAAAATAGATGGAAGAGAGGAAATTGGAATAGAGACATGCAAGGACAGCTATGACTGATCTCAAGGCAGCAGAGATAGTGACCCATAATACAGTGACGCTCGCTACCAAACCCAGGGTCATGCCACAACCTGGATGGACGAACCTGTCGCGAAGCAGGTCGTTGACTCAATGTGCGAGAAGAGAACAGAAGTGAGAAGAAGAGAAATCTTATAGTATCATACCCGTTCGTGCCGCCATGGCGGTTGCGCTGCCGACCCCTCAAGGGTTCGCTTGGACCAATCTCGGCTGGAGGTGGAGAGTAGTCTTCCTCCTCCTCGCCTTCCTCGTGCAGCTGTGCAGGCTCAGGCTCATAGATTTCTATGTCATCGGCCGGCTCATAAGCCTCTTCGTCAAGGTCGATCACAGTGGGCTCGGCTGGGCGAGAGTGGACATTCACTTGCTGAGCTGTGGGCTGCGCCTGTGATGTCAGTGGAGCTGCATCAGCATGCGTGTGGTCAGCGCGATCAACATCCTCTGAGGACCAACTGTTCGCCTTGCTAGAGTAGTACGAGTTTTCGTCAAATGACTCAACGTCGTCGCTGTTGTTAGTCGCAGACGGTAAGCCAGATACAGGCGGGACCAGTTGGTGGGCCTTGATCAAACACTGCTCGACGTCGATGAGAGCTTCTCGCTCGTCTGCATCGTTGCCACGGCCCTTTTTATCGAACTGGTCCTTCAGTGCGCGTTCTATCTGCTGCCGCTTGAGCTGCTGTTCCGCCTTGACCAGGTGTTCGGATTTTGTGAGCAAGATGGGATCGATGCTCGAAGAGGATGACTTGGCCGAGTAGGGTCGTTGTGTAGGGGGTATAGGAGACGTGGGAGGGCGTGCTGAAGATGCTGGACGCGGAGGAAATAGTTGCGATGAAGATCCGTTGGGTGTGCCGTTGGTGGTGGGTCTGCTAGAGGCAGTCTGCGGAAGACGCGGTGCAACCTGTTCAATTACTTTGGGTGGAAGATGGATACGCGGGTGTTGGCTAGCAAGCACTTGGTCGCGTATCTGCAAAATCTTCTGGAGGAACTCGGCCTCGCGAAGCACCTCTGCAGACACTGTGCTGGCACCGTTCAGATGCGACGGCACTGCGGCTGTCGACATGGAAGCGATTGGCGCTGCCATCACAACAGACGCGAACTGACTTTAGTACTGAACACCAACAAGCGAGCGCAAGACTGGCGATTATACAAATACAGGCGAAACCCGCAGCTGTGCGGGGTGAGAAGATGATGAAGGGGAATGAGTGTATGGAGAGCAACACGCCAGCGAGTGGGCAATGAATGTCGGAGCCACGGCGCGTTTTGGTTTTCAGCAGGTGCACGCGCCAGCGCCAGCACTAGGCCCGAAGGGGATGGTGACTTCTCCATGTACCCATCACGCCTTCTACAACTGTGAATGCAGCAATCGCATCCATTCGAGAGAAACTGTGAAGACTTGCTTTCTTTTGGTCTGTGATACTGCGACAAGGTATGACGCCAACACTATATCCTGTGCGTCATAACTCGAAACTTACACTAAGCAGACAACCTTTGGAATCTTCCAGCGCCACTTACCTAGACAACGCATATCCCACCTTTTCGATATCCCAAATCAATCATCATCTCCAGTGTTTGTATCGTATCAAAAGAACCGCAACCATGTCGTTCAACACAGCAGCGCCGCCAGAGACCATGGAGTACCGTTCACACCCTCAGCATGACTCAACAGCAAACAACAGCGCCGAGGTCGACGAGAACGAGAAGCCAGTCTTCTTTTTCGACATCGACAACTGCCTATACCCCAAGAGTCTTGATATCCACCGGATGATGGCTGAGCTGATTGATCAATTTTTCCAGAATCACCTCAGCTTGTCCCAAGAAGACGCCAATGAACTCCACTACCGCTATTACCGCGAATACGGTCTTGCGATCGAAGGGCTCGTCCGACACCACAAAGTCAATGCACTGGAGTACAACAGCAAAGTAGATGATGCGTTACCACTAGAAGATGTCATCAAGCCCAACCCCGAACTGCGCAAGCTGATCGAGGACATCGACACAAGCAAGTGCCGCTTATGGCTCTTCACCAATGCGTACATCACCCATGGCAAGCGTGTCGTCAAGCTTCTGCAGATTGATGATCTGTTTGAGGGTATTACTTTCTGCGACTATGGCTCGGACAAGTTCTACTGCAAACCGCACGTGGAGATGTACGACAAGGCGATGGCAGAGGCGGGTATCAAGTCGAACGAGAAGTGCTACTTCGTTGGTAAGTGCTCATAACATTGTATTCTATTCATACATTACTAATCCCTTGATATAGATGACTCTTATATCAACTGCAAGGCAGCAGAGGGACGGGGATGGAAGACGGCGCATCTGCTTGACGAGAAAGATCCCGCACCTGCTCAGCCAGCAAGCAAGTACCAGATCAGGAGCCTACAGGAGCTACGAAAGATCTTCCCGGAGGTGTTCAAGAGTTCGTGAGAAGATGTATGACTGTACATTGTCGCAAGATGATGGACCGGGGTCTGCACGGCCACATCATGCGCACTTGCGGATCTTCATGACCATCACGATTACGACTAGATGATAGACTAGATTCAAAGACATATAGAAGGATAGAAGGATAGACGAGCTGGTTGGTATGAACGAACAAGCGTTCGCAGCTACCATGGCTCGGCATCTTATCTTTCGCCGAGCCAGTGCACGTCTCCAGTGCTCTTGCGTACCATAGCACCACATCTAGGCAGCAACAACCGTCCAACTCTTCCTCTATAAAAAACCTTCAAATCCTCTACAGAAATAACCAATGAAGACACCAAAGCAATACCAGACCATGTCATCAACCACCCCAACGTCCTCCACCCCACCCGCCCCGCAATCCTCCGCATTACCCCCAACCCACCCCTTCAACACCACCTCTACCAACGCAACCACGCTTGCCGATCCCACAACCCAGCTTCCACTCGTCACCGACGCCGTAACCCCAACGCGCAAACCGCTCCTCCGCCTCGAACTCCGCGACCTCTCCTCAAATGGCACCCGCGCCTTCCTACGCCTCACACACGCGTCGCACGCGCTTGAGCACGCCGTCGCGACCGTGCTCACACACCTCTACAGCGGGCTCCCCAAAACATGCATACCAGGCACGCGATCCGTAACGCTAGTCCTCCGCGAAATGGACGGCGTCGCATACACAACAGGTCTCGATCTCGACGACGACCACAAGGAAATCCACCTAAACACGTCTTACATCTCGCACGTGCCTGAGTCGCGGCAGAAAGAAGAGATACTAGGTGTACTTGTGCACGAAATGGTGCACTGCTGGCAGCATAGTGGGTTTGGGAGTGCGCCGACGGGGTTGACAGAAGGTGTCGCGGATTGGGTGAGGTTGAAAGCGGGGTTTGCGCCGCCGCATTGGAAGAGGCATGGGGATTGTGAGTGGGATGCTGGGTATGAGCGGACGGGCTATTTTCTGGAGTGGTTGGAGAAGGAGCATGGGGAGGATGTTGTTAGGAGGTTGAATGAGGGGATGAGGGAGAAGAAGTATGATGGGGAGGTGTTGTGGAAGGGGTGTTGTGGGAAGGGGGTTGAGGAGTTGTGGGAGGAGTACAAGAAGAGTTTGGAGGGGTGTGAGTAGCATTGGGGAGTTGTAAGAGTTGGTGGGAATGTGGATTGGCGTGGAGTATTACACATGGAGGTTCGGAGGATAGAAAGACGCAGGCTATATCACGGACGACTTTACATACCACCAGTACATCATTGTACAGCATTCACCGAACATTCTCGACTCCCCATCTACCTCCGCCTTCTAGCAGGAGCAGCGTTTCTAGCAGGAGCAGCCTTCCTAGTAGGAGCAGCATTCCTTGCACCTGTAGACCCCGACACTGCCGCTGGTTTCGCAGCACTCTTCGCAGCGTCTCTCCTCTTCTTCTTCTCCCATTCTTTATGCTGGTTATCAAGTTTTAACCTGAACGCGGCGTCATTCACCAACTCTGCCTTTGCAACCGGCTCTTTCTTTTGCCGCTCAGCTTTAGTCCTCTCTTGTTCTGCTTTTCGAAGCGCTGCCTCGAAGTCGTCGTCTTCCTTCTTCTTGCGCTTCTCTTCCTTTTCTTTCTTATCTTTCTGTTCCTTTGCGGCTCGACCTTTCTCTTGGTCTGCCATATGTTGAGCTCTAGAAAACTCTTCATCCTCTTTTTTCTTGCGTTTCTTTTCTTCCTCCTTTTCTTTGTGCTGTTTCTTTAAAGCTTCGACCTTCTCGTCCTCCTCAGCTTTAAGCTTCTTCTTCTCTTCCTTCTGGAGTGCTGCTAGTCTATCCTTCTCTGCCTTTTCAGCTTTGTCTTTCACTTTCTTCTGGGCTTGAAGCTCTTCTTTTTCTGCTTTAAGCTTCGCCTGCTCTCCTTTCAGACGCTCAGCTTCGACGCGGGCATCCTCCTTCTTCTTGCGTTTCTCTTCCTCTTCCTTCGCCTTCCGCTGTTTCTTGTCAGCTTGATCTTGCTCTTTCTTTTCGTATTTAACTAGACTTTGCTCTTGTTTCGGCTGATCATGGCCTTTCTTGCCAAATAAGACCAGACTTTGCTCTTGTTTCGGCTGATCATGCTCTCTCTTTCCAAACTTGACCAAACTCCGCTCTTGTTTCGGCTGCTCAATCATCAATCGGGCTTCTATTCTCTTCTGACGTTTCTCTTCCTTTTCTTGGTCTCTTCGTGCGGCGGCTCCTTGTTTGGCGGTGGCCAGTGTTGTGGGCGTCTGTTCTGTTGCAGCTTTATTAGAGGCTGTGCGCAGTTCCTTCGCTGCAGCTTGCGTGATGAGCTTCCGTTCCTTCGCTTCGGCTTGCATTATCAGCTTCTGTCCCTTTGCGGCTTCTTTGGCTGCTGTCTTCAGCCTCTGTTGCTCCGCCTTCTCGGCCGCTTTGGTATCCGTGGTCTCATGCTTCGCACTCGATCTGAATAAGCTGAATTTTCGATGTTCAGAGCTCTGTGTATGGCTTTCAAGCGACTGGAATTCCCTCGCGCTGGATTTGTGATCCAAATTCTGCTCCTTATCATGTGGCTTGTTATCGATTGCGAGTTGCTTAGCTTCGAGCCTCTTGTCCTTGGCCGCTTCCTTGGTTGTGAGTTTCAGTCTTTGCTTCTCTGCTTCGGCGGCTTTCTTGGCATCAGAGGACTCAGGCCTTATGAGAGACTTCAGTTTCAACTTCTCCTCCTTGTCTTGGGCCTTCTTCTCAGATGCGACTCGTTTAGCTTCGAGCTTCTTCCGGGCCTCTTCCGCTTTTTGAGCATCTTTCTCAGCTTTCGCAGCACTTGGCTCCCCAGACTTATCGGCATGCTTGTTGGTAAATGGAACAACTTCCTTACCAACCTTCTCACCCCCCTTCTTTTCGCTCTTCTCATCAGCTTTCTCAGCCTTGTGCACCATTTCCAGTTTCGAGGCTGCTTCCTTCGCTTCGGCTTTCTTCTTTGCATCCGCATCCTTCTTCTCATCCTTAGCCTTCTTGTTGGCGACTTTGGAGTCTGCGTCTGTACTGTCTGACTTCGCCCCACCGTTCTTACTCTCCTTAATCTCAGCGTCCTCATGTTCAGCATCCCTGGGTTCAGAACCCTTGTTTCCAGAATCCTTATGTTCAGAATCCTTATGTTCAGCGTCCTTCTCTTTCTTAGCCTTTCTTAGGGCTCTCTTCTCCTTGATGATATCTTTATTAGAGGGCCCTTTCTCGGTCTTGGCGTTCGTAACATGTTCGTTGTTGATCGTTCGGTTGGTAATCGTCTGATTGGTGATCGTCTGGTTGTTGACCGTCTTGTTGGTAATCGTGTGGTTGGCAATCTTCTGATTAGTCTTTGCGCTGTCTTCTGCGCTCTCCTTCCCCTTGGCTGGACCATCTGCGCTCTTCTGATCTTTAGTCGTATTGTCATGTTTGGTACCTGAGGCAGCAGCTTCTTTCTGTGCGTCAGCTTCTTTCTTCGCGGCTTTCTTGTCTTGCTTCGCTTCCTTCTTCGCCTTCCGCGCTTCCTTTATCTCAGCCTCCGTACGCGCAGGTTGTTTAGCAGCATCTTTTTGTGTGTCGTATGTGCCTTCCTTAACCGGTTCACCCGCGCTCTCTGGTTGAGGATTGACGTCACTCCCCGCAACCTTATCTAACCTCTTTGCCTCTTTCCTGTCCTTTCTTCTTTGCAAGACCAACTCTCGATCCACCACAGGTTTATGCTTGGCACCGTTCGCATTCGCGCCGTTTCCGTTGTTGATGCCTTTGCCTTGAGCGTTGGGGCTACTAGGGCTCTGCGCAGCCTCCGAATTTGCCTCCTGCGCTTCTCGCCCCGCCTGTGCGTGTTGCCATGGTCCTGGTACGCCGTGCATACCCAGGTGTAGTTCATCACCACGTCTATGACTGGCGGGATCCATGTGACTCTCACCTTGGTGACCACGATCTCTAGGATCGCCGCGCTGCATATATGGGTGTCTTTCTTGATGCAGTCCGTTACCATGTCCTTCTTCGGCGCGATCCAGATGATCTCCGCCCGGATGACCATGACCTCTAGAATCGCCATGTCGTGTATCTGGGTATCTTCCCTGTTGATGGCCATGGTTACTGTCCCAAAGGCGACCGTCTTGTCGACCCTGTTGTCCTTGTCTCGCATGATCTCGATGATTTCCGCCCGGAAGGTCATGACCTCTAGAATCGACATGTTGCGTATCTGGGTATCTTCCCTGTTGGTGGACATGATTGCCATCCCAGTGGCGACCGTCTTGTTGACCCTGTTGTCCAGGTTGTCTTGCGTGATCTTGATGACTTCCGCCTCGGTGATCATGACCTCTAGTATCGCCGTGGTGCATATCTGGATGTCTGACCTGTTGGTGACCATGATTGTCGTCCGAATGACTGCCATGTTGTTGATCATGATGTCCTTGGGTTTCATCATGCCCTCCAACTGCCCTGTTTCCATCGGCTTGCGGTCTCGCCATAGCATTACCAGCCTCCATCCGTCGCTCTTCTTCCTCTTCCTGCATACGCTGCCTCTCCTCTTGTTGATGAGTCTTCTTTTCCTGATCAGCAGCCTTCTTGTGCGCTCGCTCTTCGTCTTCGCTTTCCTTTCTCAATCTTTTCTCCTCAGCTTCAGTGCCTCGTCGAGCCTTTTTATCTTCTAGTTCGGCCTGGCGTCTCTGGACCTCCATTTCCCGCTCGGCACGCTTTGCTTCTTGCTCCATGGCGTGTTCTTCCATACGATGGGTAGCTGCAGCAGCCGTGTCCTCCATCGTGCTTTTCTTTTCAGCCAAATGCATCTGCCTCTGGGCTTCTCGCTCTGCCTTTCTGCCCTCTTGTGTCACGGAGCGTTCTTCAATGCGTTGAGATGCTTCCTCTGCTCTGAGCTCAGCTTGCTCTTGTGCTCGCTGAGTCTTTTCGGCCGCATCGAGTTCTCTTTGAGTCTTGCGGGCTTCTCTATCGATTTCCTGTTGCTCTCGTCGCTGAACGGCATCCTCGGCTTTACGTTCCCGCATCTCCTCTGCCCGTGTCCTTTTCATTTCTATATCATTCGCCCGCTTAGCCTTCTGGGCTTCGCGATCCATCTCGCGCTGTTCTTTCCGCCGTTCATCCTCCTCGGCCTTTCGTTCGCGTTTGGCCTCCTGATCTTCCACTCGACGAGTCTCACGTTCCTCTCGATCAGCCTCTTTCTGTTCATCCTTTCGCTCTTTCTCTTCTGCTTTCTTTTCGTCCTTTCGCTCCTTCTCTTGGGCTTTCTTCTCGTCCTTTACTGCTTTCTCCTCCGCCTTCTTCGCATCTTTCTCTTGCTTTGCAAACTGGCGAGCTTCATCTGCTGCTTGCTTCCGAGCAGCTTTATCTGCAACTTCTTGGGCTTTTTGTTGTTCTCGCAACTGTTGCTGTTGGTACTGTGCCTGTTGTTGTGCCTGATACTCTTCATCTTCTTGAGCTCTTTGTTGTTCTTGCCACTGTTGCTGCTGCTGGAAGGCCCGCTGCTGTGCCTCGGCCTTTTCGGCTTCCTGATCAGCCCAGTCCGCATCTTCCCTGGCGGCGAGTTCATCATCCGCATGCTTCTGCTGCGCTCGTTGCATCTGAAGTGCTTGTTGACGCTGTGCATGTTCGAACTTTCGCTGGGCAGTCTCGCTGGCCGCCGCTTCTGCAGCTTCTTGCTGTGCTGCGAGCTCATCTTCTTCCTCTTCCTCTTCCTGCGCTTGCTGCTGCGCTAGTTGTCTTTGTTGCATGGCAGCTTGAATATTCTCTTGGCGTATCCTGTCGATTTCTTGTCTTTGGGCTTGGATCTGTTGTCGCTGCGCTTGATAATGCGCTGCTTCGGCCGCGGCTTCGGCCGCCTCCAGTTCTTGCGCCATTCGCTCGTCTGAAGCCTTCTTTGCCAATGCAGCTCTGATTTGCTCTTGACGTTGTCGCTCCATTACCTGATCCTGAGAAGGCATCTGCATTTGACGTCCTGCTGAGTCGTATGACTGTCCTTGAACGATCGGTCCCCGCGCTAGATCGTCGTAGTCGTCGGTGCCTTCTTCCTCCCCTTCTGCTTCTTCCATATATTCTTCATATTCGTCTTCCGCTTCCTCCTCTTGCATCGAATGCTGGTAGGGCTGCTGCCATAATGGCAGGCTTGTTCGGGAGGTTTGCGCAGTTTGCGGAGGAGACGGAGCAACATCTTGGAAGTGGTGGTGTTGCATAGAGATATCTTGGCGCCGATCTGCTTGTCGCAGTTCAGAAGGCGTATGTGAATGTACTGGAGCTCTTAGACTAGAAATTTGGCGTTGTTGCGGAGGCATTGCCCGGGGATCGTGGCCATTCGGTCCTGGCCTCAGTGCTTCTGAAACCACGGAAGACTTTTGAGGGTAGCCAACAGGCGGTATCTGAATATTGCTAGCTGACTTATGATGTGGCGACCCGCCGTCTTCATGTTCGCTGTCGCTCTCAGATGTCTCATCGTCTGAAGCTCGTTCATAGTCACTGCCGTCAACGTCGCTGTCTTCCAAGTGCTCATCTTCATCGTCCCCTGTACCTTCAACCTTGCTATCAAACTTCTCTTCCACGTCACTATCGTCTTCTACTTTGTCTCTAGTATCTTCATCGCTGATTTCACTGTGATAAGACTCATCGTCGGTATCGTAGTCATCAGTGGGAAGTCCTTGATTGCGTGGATCAATAGCGACATGAACAGCGATGGCTGGTTGTGCGACCGCCATGATATATGATGTCGTTGGTATGTAACTCGATTGGTTGAACTGCGAAGTGTGTAAAATCAGGCCTGCCTGTATGGTGTGATAAGTTGGTGTCTAGTTGGGGTAAATATAGTCAAGAAGATGGCCTAAGAACACTGGCCACGTCTAGGATCTTATACCTGGCTCAGAAGAATTCTTAAGCAAGACTGTGAAGCTTTCGTTGAACATGCAGTATTGATATCGAACTCGGGCGTGTGAATCGACCCAGATCATGACGACATCAGCACGTCGAAGCCTGCGTTTGTCATACCCTCGTGTGTAGTCTTGAAGTCTGAGAACGGCGACTGACGAGTTCTTCTCCATTCGATTCAAGGGCACTTCAACATCCACATCCCTATTGAATTTCTCTCCAGGTAACAAGCATAATGGCTACATGATCAGGCATTCATGTACGAAGCATCGCACATGCTTGTTGTGATACAGCAGTCCTTCAACGACAAAGTAGTGAATCTTAGCCTATCAGTGAAGCGTGTATTAGAAACACACCGCCCATAAATTTAGCTCTCTAGAGTTTTGTAGTCATAACCAGACTCAACCACTGCGCTCAAACACATCGACTGGGATTAAACGACACAGCCAGGAACTACACAGAAGTTCTACCAAATTCGGAATCCCTATCTTTACCACCAAGTAAGCTTCGCAGAAGCCACCTAATTGCCATACAACAAACGTCCACCCGCGACTTCATCACACATCGCCACGACCAACCATGTGCATCGGCGTCAACAGCGAAGTCTGCCCTGACTGCGGCAACAACGGCAAAGCCCACGACCCCTACCTCCAAGGCGGTACAAAATGGATCCGATGTCCAGCCTTCATCAAATCAATGACAGGAAAGGAACCCTCAGGGCCTAAATGCGAACCCATCATGCGCGATCAGATTGGAAAGAAAGGGGACTGTGCAGTCTGTATATCACGGAAGACATTTGAACAGAGGAAGGCAGAAGGGAAAATGACGCCGAACGAACTGAGACTGGAAAGAATGAGGCTGGCGAAGGAGAGATTTGACAAGGATGTGAAGACCAAGAGGAAGGAGCTGTGGGGAGATCAATAGGGCGGATTTGATGATGGAGATACTGGTGCTCCTTGAATTGCGGAGGGGCTACATGTGTACTGTGATATTGCGATGTGATTTAGTAGTTCTTCAAGCTTGAAGTGTGAATTTCAGCTTACCTGTAAGACATAAACCGTTCTCGAGTCCTCTAAATATCTACGTCCTCGAATATAAATAACTGTCAATCAAGAAAGCACTACACTAAACCCGCCTGATTACATCGATTTGATATCGGCCACTTACCTAGCCACCCTACTTCCAACAAGCTCAACACTCAGTCTATACCCGAGTTCAACACTACCAAAGCCGCGTGTCCACCCAAACCACGAACCAGCACATCTACCCACCATAATCCAAATATGTGTACAGGCATCCGCGTCCAAACCTGTCCCGATTGCAAGCAGTGTGGGCCAGACCACGCACCGTACCTCCAAGAACATGTACAAATAATACCATGTGCAGCGTCCAGCGTACCAGTATCAGGAATAACTCGCGTCGCCACCAAATGTCCCGGACTAATTTTCAAAGACGATCACACGCTGTCGCGGGGGCCTTGTGTGGACTGTTTGTTGAAGGCGCGCCAGATTGCCGAGAGAGAGGCTGAATATAAGCAGCAGCAGAATAGGAGAAGTGAAGCGAAGAAAACTCTTACGCCGGCCGAATACAAGCAGCAGCAGAACCAGAAAAGTGAAGCGAAGAAAAATCTCAAGGCGGCCAAGAGTGCGTGGAAGGCTACTGATCCAACTAAGGCATCTACCAAGAAGGTGGCTAAGGATACTGCTAAGAAGACTCCGAAGAAGACCCGGGGCGCCGTGGAGAAGAAGACCCCGAAGAGGACGACTAAGGATATGACTGATCAGGCTGCTGCGGAGGTGTTGGTGAACATGTCTCATTATCAGCATCAGAAATAGGCTGCTTGACCTAGTGCTGAGGGCGGAACCGCAGGATAGGAGGCTCGTGATCGGTAGATGCGGAAGTCTATATGAGAATGTGTCTGATTACTTTACATTTGTATTAGTTCAAGGTTGAGAATCGGGGTTAGCGATAAATGAGAAATATTAGTAACACTCTCTACACAACATGATAAATAACGATTGCAAACCCATCTACCCATCAACTTCCCACGGATCTACCTCCACACCCGCATTCCGCTCGAACCGTCTCCTCTGTTTCTCCTCCATCGTTGTGACGGTGAACAACAACCACGAGGGCCGCGCACTGAACCCGGAGGCGCAACCCACATAGACCTCCTCTGCACCGACCACGGATCTACATCCACACCCACACCCGCAACCCGCTCGAACCGTCTCCTCTCCGCTATATATACCTCGTTCTTCCAACTTGTCTCCCAAGCCTTGCGCAAATATGCTCTCGTTTCCTTGATGAATTGCACCCGGGTCTGACGTCCTGGGAATTTTTTCACATTAACATCCACACTCACATCCGCATTTTCCAGGACGATGCGTCCAGCTGACGCGAGTAGGTAGTATGACTCCTGGCACGGAAAACAGCAGGGTCGGTATGTGAAGGTGGGAAACCAGTTAACTCCAGGTTCTCTGCCGGGTTTGTGGAATTCGCCTTGCACAATGTATTGGAGGACGTGGAACACATCTGCGTAGATGGTAGATAGCTCCTCGAATAGCTCCTCCGAACTTCTTCGACGGGTATCTTCTGAAAGGGAGACCTGATTGAGCTGGGTGAGTAGGCATCGGGCGATGGTGATGTGGAAGTGATAGGAATATTCTTTTACTTCGTCCAAAACGGCGCGAATGTATGGAGGGAGACGTCCTCCATCGAAACGCGTATGGCGATTGGATAGACGGTCGATTACGCTGATACCTTTTGTGCAGGCGGCTACGCAAGCCAAGTCATTCTTGGCATGCTCAGCGTCATCAGCGCGTTCTCTGTGTATCGAAAGCTCGGTGAGGAGAACATGAGCATCGGGCCAGTGTGGTTGTTTGACGATTTGCATGGTGTCTTGTAGAAGATCCTCATGGGCGCAGCCTTCCATCGTGAGACGGCGACAGCCACGGATGCCATCTCGTATGGGTTGTAATAGCTGTTCTTGAATACGCCGTGAAGGAACCTCGCAATTTCCTTCCGCATCAGTGTTCGTACCTGCGTTCAGTGTGACGCGTAACTCTACCCCCATATCTGGTATCTTCGTGTGGCCATGGTGCATCCTTTCAGTCTCCAATCTCTTGCAGAATTCGCTCAGGTCCGACAAAAACATCACTATCCTGGTTGTCAAGGAGCGAGAGGAGCGAGAGGATCCAAGAGACCGGTCGAGCTGAAAGACGAGGTCCATCTCACAATGCGGGAAGACCTTTGGCTCTTCTTCGCTCAAACTGGGGTGTAGCTCTGGTATGCAGCCACCAGTGTGGCTGATGGAAAAGATGTGGATCGGTTGGCTGGGCCCGTGGAACCAGTCTTGTATATTACCATTCTGAACCTCGACGCGCACGAAAGTGTTGCTGTTTGACAGGAAGGGCTTTGCTTCATCATAGATCTGCTTGTTTGCGAGGAGTATATTAATGCCAAGACGTCGCCGCTTTACTATGGGTGCCTCCGCATGCAGGTTTAAGTATTCGCGGATAGTATAGCGAGCTGTTCGACAGCTATCGAAGCCTAGCGCAAATTCGTAGACATTGTCTCGTAGCTCGCGTGGTAGATCAAGAAGGCGGAAAGGCTGATCGGTGAGGTGAGTGTTCATGATGCTTGGCAGGAATTGTGGTGTAGGAAGGTAGGAGCGTTCAAGGCGCTGAAGTTTGCTTGTACACGGCTCCAGGGCTGACAGGAGCGGCTCGCTTCCACTGCATGGGTCTAGCGCATCGAGACAGAGTCATTCCACTTAGCTCAGACTGCTGCCTGGGCTTACGCAATCGCCAACAACGATAAGGCGTAAAAGTGGTAAAGTATTATAGTATTGACAAGGGCGTTGCGCAAACTCGTGGCATTAGCCTCTCGGACCGAAGTCAGATGATACGCCGGTAGAGTAACCGCACTGAAGCGCTACAATACATTGCCTAGGCAAGCAAGTTTAAAACCGTCCCGTCCAGATACCCCTCAACGCCAGAATGTCCGCTCGCCGGCATGACCATCAGTGTGCGTCGCAAAGTCCAGATCCATTGTTGGTTAAACCAACGGCATGTGTCAATCGTAGATAACTCTTACTCAACGCCCTCGACTTTCCTCAGAAATTCCCTGACGCGGCCAACCTCCACACCCTCGCCTTCTTCACTGTCCAGAGCCGCGACGAGACCTTCAAGACACTCTTCAATCCTGTTCTCTTCTACCTTTGTGCAAAGACTGACGACCTTGCGGTACATCATCTCCAGTTGCCCGTCCTTCTCTTTCAGCATCTTGCTCCGTTTGAGTAGCGCACCGTTCGCGTTCGTGTAGGTGTGTAGTCGTTGTTGGAGGACGGAGGCGGCGGGGAGTTGCTGGACTGCATAGGCCTGATATTGTGGCTGATGCGATACCTGTTTGAGCGTTGCAGGATCCAGTGGAATGGTTGTCGACAGATAGGGGGCTCCATCTGATGCGCGGCAATCCAGATGGTCGCCTGCTTGCCGGAGCTCGTAAGGCAAGTCGTCTTCCTTGATGAGCATGCCTGCACCTTCCACATCGGCGTATCCTATCCTCTTCTTCTCGTGCAAATCGATGTCCCCTGCATTGACAGAAAGCATATGCCGTTGTGGCTCAAGCCAACGCTTCAGATTCGATATCCGCTTAGCGCGATCTTGTCGTAAACGTAACCGAGCACGTAGTGACTCCAGCCTTTGTTGCTCCTGCTTCTGTTGAGTAGATAGTTGGGTGATCAGCTCATTTGTTTGATCTATGGTGTCTTGTTTCAGACGCGCTTCTTGCGTGAACTGCATTGAAGCGGACTGGAGAATGCCATTCATCACTGTAATCATATTAGTGGGATTCTCGTAATAGACACGAATTCAAACTTACAGGGTTGTATCTCTCGGCTGGTCTCTTCGACCTTGCTCAAGGGCGCCTTGCCCTTGCTGGGGCTGTTTGCGGCGATTATGACTTCGCCATCGCCAAGATCGCTGCCAACACCGAAGTCGATGGGTCTCGTGCCTTTGTGATTGGGTATGGTCGGGTCCGCCTGAACTTCCATGAGCTGAGAGATAATGTTGCGATTGCCTATCCTTGCGGCTAGGTTGAGTGCTGTGTTGCCGGCTTTGTCGCGTGCGTTGACCATCTCTTGCATAAACCTCATCAATCCTATTGGTTTCGGGTAGTTGCTGGTGTCGTGGAAAGAAGGCACCTGGTTGGCGCCAATGTTGCTGCGTACGAGGTACTCAAGAAGTGCCTCGAGGTAGTACTTGCTGGAGGCCGCACGCCCTTTTATGGCACAGGTCACCGCGATGTGATGCAGTATCGTCCGTCCCTGGGAGTCGCGGAGTTCGATAAGTGGCGCCAGGATCTCGAGCGTTTCTGGGAAGCAGCTGTGGTCCAGGCTGTTGTTGACGGAGACTGCACTCATTAGTGGTGTTTGACCGGAGGCATTTCCTCTGAACATGTTTGCTCCTTTGGAAACCAATAGCCTCATCAACGAGACTCGGGCCAGTGTCGCAGCCCAATGTAGAGCTGTATTTGAGGTGTTGTCAATTGGCATGTCCAGATCTGCGCCAGAGAGGTGAAGAATGGCTGGATGGTTCGTGAAGTCTGTCCTAGTCTGATCCGCGAATAGATCCGTAAGCATGGCTTGCTTCTCTTCGTTGTGCTTGGTGTCGGGGTGCGGTAGAGGTGGCAGGGCTGAGGGAACCTCGCCATCGGGAAGTGCAATGCGCTGTCCTGTCTGGTGTTGGTAGAAGCTCTCGCTTGGTTCTGTCGGCGAGCCTAGATCGCGCATAGACATGTCTGCGCCGTTGGGTTGTGAGTAGGATTCATCTTGGGATGTTCGCATGCGCTTCCTTGGCGGCTCTTGCGGGTCTTCAAGGCCTGTGCCATAGGCTGAGTCGGTGTGTCCGTTCTGCCCGCTGAAACTACGCTCCGATGCTACGCTCTGCTGGCTGCTGGTGCGGAACGATTCTTGGCTGGCGAGGGGTCCCTGTGACGGCCGTGCCATGCTTCTCCGGCCCTGCGAGGAGGAAGCGGGTCGCGGTGCGGGTGAATTCAGTCGCGCGACCTTGTTCATGGCGGCAAGTGCGCTGGTGGCTGTCGAGGAGATGTTGCTGAAAAAGGTACCGCCGACACTCTGGCTAGTAGTGCGGCCGTCCATGCTCTGGGTGTAGAAGCGCTTCCTGTTTGCTGCCATGGCCTGCTCTTTGGTGGGCGTCTCGATGCCCTGGCCCTGTCCCTGGTTGCCATCAACGCTGACATCGTAGTCCAGCAGCGGGCGCAAGACATCCTCGACACCGTACTGGCGACAAAACTCTCTGCCGCGGCGGTAGCAGATCCATGTGCCCTGGTACTTGCCGTAGCCGCCCTGGACCTTTTCGTGTTCGCCGTTCAGGATCTCCTTCTCGAGGACCTTGGTGCGCTTTCCTTTGTCAACGCCAGCCACCTTGAGGATCTGGGTGGCATTGAGCCAGCCGTCAGAGCGTCGGCGCATGACGGCGACCCGATTGACTTCCATTTCGTAGACAGAGACGCCCGAGTAAACAGCCTAGATTGTCAGCGACTTGGTGCGACTGCGCAAATGCTGTGGTGGTGGTGGTGCCTACGGTGTATATCTGGGGCTTCTCCATGGCGTGCTGCTGGTAGCCGTTCATGTCGGAAAAGGACCGGTTGAAGCCAGCGGGCGCAGCCATGAGTCCCTGGCTGTGGGGAGAGTTGGCGTACATGGCCGACTGGGGCGGCGAACCTGCGGGAAAGGATAGCGACGAGCGCGCGACTTGCATTATGTCAGCGCAGTGCTGGCGGGCGTGGTGATGGTGACTGTACGGGTCAA